TGTGTCAAGTCCCCAGCCCACCTCTTTAGTATGCAGGGGCAAGGTATTCTTCAATTTCACACTCAACTAATCCTCTAATAATTTTCTTTCAGCCAGAATGAAAAAGGCTAATATTAATTTCCTAATAAAATTAAAAAAAAAAAGTTGTCAAGGCTATGACTCTAACCTTGAACCAGCTTCAATTTCTCTGTATTTATTCTTCGAACACACCAAGGATTTAACCTCAGGGGCAAGTGAGAGACGCTCAGAGAACTAGTCCCAGTTTGTCCCTGACTACAGCTGAGTGAATTGGAATGAATTAGCATTATTAAGGTGTTTAACACCACTTTAACGTCCTATTCTTAATACCAACAGTTCTGATGGCTTAAGCACTAATTACTTAAAATTAATAAAGTATGTCACAGTCAAAAATATACAATTTTACATTAAAGTAACATTAAGGGTCTCAGTTTAATTGACCAAAAAAAAAAAATGTTGAGGAAATTTACAGGTACGGTTGAGAGATCGCCTTTTCTTGACAGAAAGCAATAAATCCACAGCCCTTGTTTGTCTCCATGGGCAAACTGCATGATCACAACACCTGCCAGTTAGATGCTCACTTACTGAAAAATGACCACAGAGGCCTGCATGTTAGAGCCAGCAACAGAAACAAACAAACAAACAAACAAACAAAAGTGCCCAAGCTGATACATTCTAAATCTCTACCTTGGATTTCCTGTTTCCTATCAGTTTATGACCCTTAGTGCTACTGGCTGACTGGCTGCATATTTGAGATGATTAAAAAACAAAAGAGCCACTTCAAGCACCTCCCCCATCTGTATGTAATTACAGACAAACTAAAGATTCCATCTGACTGGGGTCCCAGGGTCCCAGTTCCTAACTGTTCCATGTGAAAGCACCGTAGAGCCCAAGTGTAAAGCACTTCTGCAGTCATCAGTGTTTCATATGTCCTCAAGTTTCTCTGATTTATTTGCCTTTAAACAGGAGAGTAGGAAGTGTATTATTTTACGCTGGCTTCGAATCTGAGTTGACAAAAGTGTTAATTGTGGGGGCTCTTTGGACTGTTATTCTCCCAACAGACTGGAGTGGCTTCATGAAATCTGATGATTAAACTCCGGAAACCCAGATTTCCAAAGAAGCATGTATCTGATCCTCCACACAGCATGCAAACCCATGCTCCCCTGGGTCAGAGAGTTCTTTTTGCAAATTCCCAATGTAAGTGGCAGGCAGCTCATGGGAAAAGTGGACCTTTGAGCTGGTCAAGTTCAAGTTCTTAAAAATCTTTGGACAGAGGGAGAAAAGGGGCGGGGGCAGAGAAAAAGAGTTGCAGGGAGGGGAAGGAGGGAGAGAGAATCACATAGTAATTTTAAAAGTTAAAAATAATACAAATTATTTTATAATATATGTTAGGTGAGCCATTTGAAAAGAACATATCCAGATGAATAGTTATGCTAAAATCACCATCTTGGATCTTGGTGCATTCCAAGATTCTGGAATCACAATGAATGCAATGTACCAGACATCTAGGTGTTGACTTTTCCTCGGGAGTTGAGATGTGGAGAAGGGTGAGATGTGTCTCTTCACTCTTCAGCACAGGCCCTGAATAGCAAACTTTAGCCTGAGGCACATTTTTATGGCCAAATTAAAAACCTTTCAGAATAGGAGTTTATCATGGGAATGCTGACAGGGCTTTACCCAGAGAAGGGCTAGGGGCAGTACAATAATGTGGAGACAATTCTCCCTCAGCACAACTGCACTTGAGCACAGGGGATAGAGCTGTCTAGCCGATGCCGTTGGCCAGCAAACAGTTGTGATTTAACATGCGTGAGTCCTGGTGATTCGGTAGCTCTGTGGCCCTCTGAGACAATTTTTCTTTCCTGTTTTTTTTCCAACTGAGTTATGCCTCAAAGGGTAAAGGATTGCAATTTTAGCCTTCATTCACAGATATACTGTTCTCTTTCAACACTATGTGACAGGCCTGTTAACTACCACTCATAAGCGGGCTAAGCAGACTGCAGGGAAGTCTTAGCAAACGCAAAGCATCAAGTGTTTTTCCGTTGTTTATTCATGTTTCCCCTCGTCTTATGTTAATACACACCATGTGTGAGTTAGGTGAGGGCTACAGCCAGAACATTTCCAGGGACTGAAGAACTTAACTTTTCCTTCTAATAGTTTGGAACAATTCACATATTTATTGATCATGACAAATAAAGTGATTCCTTCTACAATGTTGAGGGAAATGTATTCATTAATAGAATGGGTCCCATCTACAGAATTGATTTACAGGAAGTATTGAAGGAGTGTTCAACTACTCTACTCTCAAACTGAAAGAATCCTTTCAATACCACAAGACTGGTCTTGCTAGTAAAGGAAGGGCAATTCCCATCACCAGACTACCACCATAAGAGTTATATTCAATACACGAAAGTATGAAACAGTCATGATGGTTCAGTGGATAATTACAGTGATACACAGCCATAATGGCACATAGTTGTTCTATGATACACAAAATGAAAAATAAAATTGATTTGGTTATAGAAATCCAAAGAACACCACCACTTAATTATTTCAAACTGGAGCTATTCTGAGAATATTGAGGGGGAGGATATCAATGTGGGCTAAAAGCAAAGCAGTCTGGATGTACCGAGTCATCAGCCTGTGCTTGTCTGTTCACCCTCTGAGTTACAACTCTGACATCTAAGATCTTGGTAGCTTAATGCTGGCAAGATTACTGAATTACTGCATTCCATCTGATTGCTCAATATTTCTACTTGACAGGTTACATTCCAGTATTTATTCAGCGTAGATCACTGAAATTCTATAGGGATGTGCTGTGATCATCCTTCTGAATGGGCTCTGAATTCTTTTGGGCTGCCCTTCTGCAGCATGATGAGAAAATGTTGATGGAAACATTCCAGAGCCCTGTGCTGTGGGCCTGTACCCCTGGATGCTGTGGCCATACGTTAATGACTGGGGAAAGCAGTAATTCAGAGAAAGGAAAGTGGCAATCTGCTATTGGCCATAGAGTGTTTTATAGTCACACATGTGGAGTTGAGGCTCAGCGATGCCATTACTTGCTGATCTTAGAACAGCATTTTGCTTTTCTGTTCCAGAAAAAGTTGCAATTCTGGACCAGTTCTAGTCTTTCCAAAAATGGACTCTCTCTACAGATTGGCACCTTTCCTGGTGGTCTGTGCCCTGTCCCTAGTCCCAACACTCAATTCAAACAATATAATAATTTATACCATTTTGTGATTTTATATGTATCATTTCTGAACTCCCAAAAAGGAAAAAAACTGAAATAAATGTTATATTTAAATGTAGGAGAGCAGGAAATGTGGGATTCTGTCATTTAAAAATGTATATGTGTGCAGAACATAGTTTAATGCCTATGTACAAACACAGCAGTTGCAGATCAGTGTGGAGTTCGAAAATAAAGCCCTGACTATGGGAAGGTTGTTCATAACTTTTAAGACATTAAAGTACATTCAAAGCAAGAATGAGCAAATAAGGAACTTGTAGCCATCCTGGAGTTTAAAATTGTTCTCTCCTGAGTCAAAGCTGAGAAAACATTAGGGCAACATTTGAGTTGGGCCTTGCCTCCCACACACTCCTGCATCCCTCTGGAGCACAGATGTAATGAAGAGGAAGCACGAGTCCACATTCTGAAACACAATCATCAGCTCCCAAAGAAACTCAGGTCTGGGAGACAGCGTAACAGGAGTGAAAAACCAATCCAAGGCAGGCTTTGGACTCAAACCAGAAAAGCAACATGTCCCTCCTGGAGGACTAGAGACCATGCTAAAGTAAAGAAAATCAAGGTGTGGGAGTGTCGGCTTCAGCCTCCGAGGTATTTTCTGGGAGACTTGCTGGTACTGACTTCCTGATACCTAGAGTTACTCCTGGAATCGGTTTGTTTCTATGAATCCCATTTTAGAACCTTTTGGATTGTGTTTCCTCTGAACTTTCCCTTCTGCCTCTTTGCAAAGCACTGGCCTCTTGTTCCCTCGTGCCCCAAATCTTTTGTGTTGGTTTCACACTGGTGGCTACGGTCCTGTGTAAAAACAACTGAGAAAAAAAAAAAAAAACCAACACAGAGCCTTGCTTTCCCTTGCTGGTTGGATTCCCAGCCCTTTAGAGCACCTGGTAATTTATTGCTCTTTTCACCAGTTGTTTCTTGAGCTCTTCTGATCCTGAGCAGACAGATCCCAATTCACCAAGCACAAGCACAAGGCTAGGTGGTTCCCCGAGGGTCTGCCTGGCACTAGCAGCAGCTAATGGGGAAGCAGCATTTCAGGGGCGTCTTCAGCACATCTTTGTACGGAGACAGGGAGAGACACTGCCAATCGCTTGGGTTAGACTGCCACAAACCTAATTCCCTCTAATCAAAGCAGAGAAGTCTCTGCAGCTAACCAGCTTACTATTTAGCAAAAGGGACTTCCCTTCTTCATAAGGTGGTTAAGCCAGAGGAGTGCATCTGCTGATGCTATAAAACCTGCCACTTTCTAAACCCAGAGAGAAGGATGTGTCATCCCCCGTACTCTCCTTGTGTAGGCATTTTTGGGTCTTAATGACGCCCCTTGGTCTGCAGTAAAATCAAGAAATATGTGTGAATATATTCAAGGGTCTGAAAAATTCCCCAGCAAGGATTCTCAAGAAGATTCTATGCACTTAGAGGGCTAACATGTGCTATGTTACATACTGCAGATCCTAGTTTGACTGATGAAAACATTCATTACTTCTATGTTTAAAAAAAATTGCAAATTAGCCTTAACCCTTTAAGGACCCCTATTAGCAGCAAATTACTGTTGTCACAAACAGCACATGCCTTCTCATTCAGTAAAGGGAACTTGCTACAAAGGTACCCAAACATACTTTCTGTTCTGCCACTCAGCACTGAGTGCTAGATAGATCAGATGAACCTGTTTTACAGAAGTTTGAGGGGAGGGGAAATCTCAGAGTCTTAAAGGGTTAAGCTAGGACTTGGAGTAAAAGGGTCTTATTAAAAGGGCGAATTGGGGGAGCGAACAGTCTCAGAGGAGCTGGGGGAGTAGTCTTCTGATTCCGAGTTGAGTTCTGGTGGAGCTGGCTGTGCCTTGTACCGGCTCCTCACATCCTGGTTGCGTCTTCGTCGGAAAACCTGCCTCTCCTTATCAAGAGCGGTGGTCTAGCAGGGGCATAAAATGAGAAAGAGGACAATTAGGCCAGGGGACATGGCAGAGAGACTCTAGATGGTTTGCAGTTGGAAAGTATGCTGGCCAGGTTAACCTGCCCATCATGGCTTGCTTAGGTCAGCAGTCACCATCCTTGCTCATGAAGCCAGCAAGCACAGGCAATGTCACAGGCTGCAACCTACCCAGAGCCACCAGCTTCATATCTATCACCCCGTGGCTTTCAGAATCACCCCCACATTAAACAGAACTTCAGTCCTTTGTGTGTGACAGGTAAGAAAACCCCTTGGGGCGTGTTGGCCAACAAGCAGCTTAGGGCACAAGAATAATAAGGTTGAAGGGTGATAAAGTTGTCAGATGTGGAAACATGGTCACAAGCCCTGCCTGCTGTTAGCAATTTTCACTCTAAATGATCTTATTGTCCCTTGATGAGGGGATGGTGGCAGAACCTTGGGAGGGGCTGGGTGAATTTTAATGAAGCCAAAGCCTGAAAGGGAGCATGGCTTAGAATGAAATTAAGCCCAGGGACCACATTCTATGGGTTTCACTTTACATCCTAACGTCAATTTTCATAAACGTGAGGAACTTTTTCCACCTTCTTCTCTGAGTATCCCAACCTCTTGTCTCTATGCCGAATTTTCCCAAGGAAACCTCAGATGATCTCTGAGATGTGCTACCCAGCTTCAGCCTCAGTAGTTACTACAACATCACTATAGGGACAGCGTGACTTCATTTCAGATTTAACGGTGAGGGAAGGGACTGATCCATTATAGCAAAACTTTAACAGAAAGCAGAAAAGCAGGTACAAAGCTCAAAAGAAAAAAAATACTAAACATGGATTACAGTGGAAGGGCAAGCTCTCCTTGCCTGCAAGTCCCTGTTTAAAGGGACACAGCCTGGAGGCTATTCTGCTTTTAGGAGATTATTTTCCTTGTGCGAGGATATTTGCCGCCATTTTCTCCTCTTGAAATTTTACTGTTGGCTTCTTCAAAGAACTGGGATAAATTTATAGCCTGCCTGGTTCTGAGAACAAAGTGAAGACTAAGCTCCTCATACGATTGCAGAATAGCATTAGAACCATCTTAGATCTAAAAGAAAGCAATCAAAGTTCCAAAATGAAGTAATAAAGAGCGAAATAGAGACAGCGTGTAGAACTGGGCAGTAAATGGCTTACTTAGGCTGAGCCATTTCCACTTTAAAAATGATGCACACGCCGAGTAACAGTGTTAGAAGCCAATGAGGGCGATAAACTTTAATAATTCACTTCTCGCTTCACGGAACGGCTAAAATAACCATCCAATGGCTGCCCTGTTGAAATGTCTGCCTTGATTCTGCCCCTCATTGAATTTTAAAGGACCTCCTATGTGTAGTTTTTGGTCTTATACCCACCAATTTCATGAAAGCCTCAGCCTCACAAACCTAAATTCCTAACTTTATTTAAAACGTTGTAAAGTCACAACACATGGTGTTTTGCTTTTCAAAGCAAACTGAGAATGTTCTGTTTGTGTGGAGTTGGATGTTTGTAGAAAACAGATGTCTATTTAGTCTGTCTAACATAAAAAGCATTCTGTAGTTAACCCAAGGGTAATATAAACTCATCTCCTGGTCATAAAAACTATAGTTGTATTTCTACCTTTCTGGGGATGGAAAACTCCCTGGCTTTGGATAGCGTGCTGATGGAGGCAGTCAGACATGGGAGGACGCATGGGGAGGGAGGGAGCGAGCACCGATGCCTGTGGCTGTCTTAGCCATTCATTCAGCTCCATCAGTGTTAAACACAAGGAGCAGGTGTGGCCCCTTCTCACACTTACAAAATTGCTATAGATAAAATAGGATGTTCTGAAAAGTTTTAAACAATCAAGGCTTACAGAGGTTTGAGGCACTCTTTTTTTTTCCCCCCTTTGTAGTGTGATGCAAGATAATGTTCTAAAATTTAGCAATGGAAGCAGAAGGCGAACTCCCCCTCCCTTGCCCTGTGCTCTTGCATCTCCCCAAACAACAAAGCAGCAGCAGACTTGTGGAAGTAGACTCTGTGATTCTCCTTGTTGAATTCTCAAGGACCTTCAAATATTTAGCTCTTGGTCGGCCTTAGATGCCTGTGATTGCCTGTCTATTCGGCTGCTTTAAGTCATACGCCACCGAAACGAGACATTTCTCCATAAACACAGAATGGAGCTGACTCAGAAGCCAGTGGCATTCAGGGTGAGCCTGTGTACAGACGGCCCCCCACCCTCACTGTCCTTTCTTCACTCTCTTCCTTCCTTCTTCCTCAGCCTAGAGAAGGCTTGCTCTGCTTTCAAGTGCTCAGGCCCACCTGCCAATCTCCCTAATTAGTAGCTTTCTAAATGTCCGCCTTCCTAGATGAGCCTTTGTGTGCTTGTGTGCTCCTGAACCTCACAACACTTCTTAGAAAGGTGTATTGTGATCATATGTCCTGGACTATGGGTCACATGGCAGTTTCTATCGGGTTTACAGATGCTTAAGAGTGAAAAAGGCTGTCCTGGGCATCTCTGACCAGTGCTCTGTCTTTATAGGACTGTTATTAAGGCTCAATAAGTGGAGGGAATTTGCCTGTACACTACACTAAGAATAGAATGCATATCTCCCACACAAGGCCCAAGCAAAGCATTTATGCTGTAATCTATTGTAACAGGATAAAGCAGAGTCTCCATGTTTGCAGAGCTCAGTTCAGCTCTGTTCTCATGCCGAGTAGCAGGGAGAAGACCCTGGGGCCACAGAGAGTATCCAAGACTGTATGCTGCCCATCAGAGAAAATCATGGGCAACAGTAAATCAGGATCCAGCCAGTCCAACCCACTGTGAATCTGGGGAACTGTGACCCTCTAGGTCTAGTGCTCACCACAGAAATAAGGGTTTCCTGTCCATCTGGGTCACTGCAGTAGTTATCAGTAACTTTAGTAACCAAAGACCACCTAGAGGGTATCTGTCTCCATAAGCCTCTGCTCCCTGAGGCCTAGCACACTCTATTTCGAGCTCCGTGATCTGTGGTTCTTGTTAGGGTGTTTGTCCATACCCATTTCCAGTGTGGTATGTAGTATGTTCACTGTGTGTCCAACATAAATCATGACTGTCCTCCTCCCCATCTGATAGAGTCCATGAAGGGCCACCAGTCAAGTCTTAGATGCCTTCTCTGAATTCTCCACAGTTCACAGCACACAATAGATACACTATGAACTCTGTGGCTATTGAAATATGAAGAGTTCCAACAGAGGTCTCCTGCTTCCCTCTGAGGTACCCAGTCTCCAGTACGTCCTACAAGCAGCTGACAGGTCAATTTCCACGAAGTCCAGCTTATTTACAATCCCTCCTAAAGTCTCAATCCTTGCCCCAGCCTTGGCAATAGACTGACAGTAAAAATTTTCCAGTGTCTAGTTCTTGTTATTACTCAAAACTGATCGGTAACATCAGTAGATCCACTGTGAATCTTTATCAGACAGTGGCTCTTCTAGAATAACAGCCCTTTGCCCTCCTTACTGTAGTCAATTCTGCATTAGTTTCCCTTTGGACATCTTTCCACTCTCACACTGACTCGAGGGAAGAGGGTCCTACTCTATCTATGAGAGGCGAAGCAGTGGACTTGCCACTAGAGGCAAACCTAAGATGACAGGTTTAGGACAGAAACCTACCCAGTCAACAGGACACCCTGACACTGTCTCTCAAAATTTTCCTTCACAATGAATTCCAGTTTTCCAGATAATGGCTTCTCAAATTCAATACCACATGTTTTTTGAAGTCAGAGATAGAGCCACAAGTGTGGAGACCAGAGGGAACTGGGCTTTGAGTGAGTGCTCAATCTACCTAACACCAAAGCTAGAACCCACCCACAGACGTGTCTGGTTATAAGTGTTGTTTGTGGTTAAACTAGTCTAGTCTGGGCTTTCTTCCCACAACATCAAAACAGTAACTGACATGTCTTGGACTCCACTTGACTGTCCTCAGATCTCCATCCTGGCTCAAGTTGTCCACCACCTGACATGACCTCTTCTCTGCCCAGCCCAATATATGTATCTGGGACCTCATCACAATTCATCTACTGTACCCCATCACCCACTAACCACCTTCTGGCAAGAACCTTCTTGACAAAATCTTTTGTTTTTTATTTGGACTATTCTCTTACCACCTTTTATGTGCAGATTTTGCAAAGTTCATGTAAATTTCTCTATGCTATAACCAGAAACTTCCAAAATACTTATCAGACTGTGGCATATTGACCATGCATGTATCACATACTTCTCATCTAATCCAAAATTATTTTAGGTGACTATGCATCTGAGTACAGTTAGTACTGCCTTTTGTGATTTCTTTAGAATTTTAATTAGAGCCCTCACAATTGGCACACCTCTCAGACATGTACCATTTGCTCTTTACAGTCGGATTCTGTAGCTCCCTTGTGCATTTCAGAACTGATGGGTTCAGCAAGAAAACATAACTACTCATAGTGATGTATTCACAGCAGATTGTAATGCAAATGTGAACAAACTAGAAACCCTCCCAGAAGCATGTGAAGCATGATTTGTCCTCTGAAATGTTGTGCCACACATTAAACTCCAGGCCATTTCTGAATGGCTGAGAGGTGGGTTTACTTATTCATTTATTTTGTATCACTCATACAAGATTCTCAGATATTGAAGATATTCTCAGTGTCTCCTCCTCACTGCCTGCCTTCGCAAAGTGAACATGTCTTAAGGTATGGGCTAAATGTTCTATTAACACATAAGACTTCCTGAAAGATTTATTTTGTAGTTTATTCTGCTCAATGTTTGTGGTTTTCTTGGATTCAGCATGTATAGACTTGCTATTGAAATCCCCAACGTCTCCCTTCCATTAAGAGCCCCAAGAGAATCTCAAGACTGTAGTATCACATATTGATGTTAATTACCACAGGTTAGAGGTGAGCCAGGAGCTCTTAGGATTCCAAGGCTGATCAGTGGTAACCAAGTATGACTAACTTCAAATGGGTGAATGTCTCTGTCCCC